AAAACAAGAAAGGGGCAACCAGCAATATCTATAAAAAAAAAAAAAACAACCCACATTACTAACAACAATCAAACAAATAAAAACAATATTGTGTGGACTTCACTTTTTTCCTATGTGACCCATCGGGAAAGTGTCTTACCCGCCCGTCCTGGCTGGTATGCAAGACCCAAAAAGCACCAGAAAAGCATGTTATGATATTGGCGTCACCTTCACGTATGCAGGGGCGCAATGGGCCCTGCATACAGGACCCGCCTCAGAAAGGGTTTCTGAGAGCAAGCCATGGTAAAAAATAAAAGAACACACAAAAAAAACCCAGTACTAAACAGGAGCTTTAGCCAAACAGCAGTATCACAAAGCCCAAGGCCGGTTGCAGCCATGTTGGCAACAAAGGATTCTGCTTCCACAGGATCTTGAAAAGAGCACTTGCGACCCGACAGCGTTTCCAAATGCATTGTCACCGGATATGCCAAGGTAAAACGGATCTGTTGCTTAGACAGCGTGGTGCATAACGCAAGGCTTTACGCTTGTGAGCAACTTCCGCAGAGTAGTCAGCAATAAGTAGCAAATTATTACCAGCTATGGTCAAAGACCTCAATGCACGATATCTTTGGAGTATGTAAGATTTCTCTGCATAATTCAGATAGCGGACAATCACAGGTCCCGGTGCGTTTCTGTCAGGCTGCATAGGCCCCAAGCGGTGTGCTCGTTCCACTACACAGGCAGTATAAATTCCCAGGGCAGCCGGTATGTCTGATGAACAAATGTCCCCCAGAGATGGAGGTTTAATAGTCTCGGGTAGACCGATGATTCTTAATTTGTTCCTCCTTGAGCGGTTCTCAAAATTGTCAATTTTGTCCAGTAAGATTTGGGACTTAGACTGGAATGAAGAGAGCTGGGATTGTCTCAATAAGATCGTCTTCCAATATAGAAATGCGAGACTCTGCCTCTATCAAAGTGCGGGCCTGAGCAGATAAGTCAGAACGGATCTGGGAAAGGCCCTGTTGCATAGCCGCTGCCACAGCCTCCGTTATGGTCAGCTTCAATTAGTAGCAACAGCCTCCGCCATCTTCTCAGAAGAGTTGGCCGTGTCCCTACCTTCAATCAAAGGGCTTGGTAGGGGCTCCTCCTTCCCTGTCAGGAGCCAATTCTTCTCCATTAGGGCGTCATGTGCAGAGCGAGTGAGACCGGGGCTTCCGCGTCGCTGCCAAAAATCGATCCATGGCTGCTCCCTGTCGATCCCCGTGGATAAGAGCTATAGGTATGCTTTCTAGCAGGTTTTTATTAGCTGTAGGTGGTCGGTCGGGCAGGAGCACGGTCTCCCGTCTCCCTGCAGCTTCTCACATGGGCACCGGAACCCGGAAGGCCACGCATAAATTTTAAAGGAACCCAGAATGTTTCATAAGATATGTGCACTCCTAATTCCTGACCCTCACAGCAAAAATGTACTAAAAAACATACTTTAGCCATGCAGAAAGTGGAGTAAATGGTAGAGTTTACATTGCCTGGTCTACCTAGGGCTCACACAATGCCTCTCTCCTTTAGCTATCTCAACAGGCTGTGCATTCCCCAGGGCCTGGCCATATTGAATGACTGTCTCCGTCCTTAGCTTTACACATGCAACTTATGAAAAGATTATTCTCTTGGGTCAGTCCAAGCACATGCACAAAATTGTTATATTACAGGTGATGCCTGCCTTAACATGCACATGAACTTTAATGGCATCCCAGTCTTAGTCCGTAGGGTTCAATATTGAGTTGGCCCACCCTTTGCAGCTATAACAGCTTCAACTCTTCTGACAAGGCTGTTCACAAGGTTTAGGGGTGTGTCTATGGGAATGTTTGACCATTCTTCCAGAAGGGCATTTGTGAGGTCAGGTACTGATGTTGGAGGAGAAGGCCTGGCTCACAGTCTCCGCTCTAATTCATCCCAAAGGTGTTCTATCGGGTTGAGGTGCAGGCCAGTCACGTTCCTCCACCCCAAACTCGCTCATCCATGTCTTTATGGACCTTGCTTTGTGCAATGGTGCGCAGTCATGTTGGAACAGGAAGGACCCATCCCCAAACTGTTCCCACAAAGTCGGGAGCATGAAATTGTCCAAAATGTCTTGGTTTGCTGATGCCTTAAGAGTTTCTTTCACTGGAACTAAGGGGCCAAGCCCACTCCCTGAAAAACAACCCCACACCATAATCCTCCCTCCACCAAACTTTACAGTTGGCACAATGCAGTCAGGCAAGTACTGTTCTCCTGGCAACCGCCAAACCCAGACACGTCCATCGGATTGCCAGACCGAGAAGAGTGATCCGTCACTCCAGAGAACACATTTCCACTTCGCTAGAGTCCAGTGGCGGCGTGCTTTACACACCACTGCATCCGACGCTTTGCATTGCACTTGGTGATGTAAGGCTTGGATGCGGCTGCACGGCCATGGAAACCCATTCCATGAAGCTCGCTACGCACTGTTGTTGTGCCAATCTGAAGGCCACATGAAGTTTGGAGGTCTGTAGCTATTGACTCTGCAGACAGTTGGTGACTTCTGCGCACTGTGCGTTTCAGCATACCCTGACCCCGCTGTCATTTCACGTGGTCTACCACTTCGTGGCTGAGTTGCTGTTGTTCCCATTTGCTTTCACTTTGTTATAATACCACTAACACTTGGCCATGGAATATTTAGTAGCAAAGAATTTTCACAGATGGACTTATTGCACAGGTGGCAACCTATCACGGTACCACGCTTGAATTCACTCAGCTCCTGAGAGCGACCCATTCTTTCACAAATGTTTGTAGAAGCAGTCTGCATGCCTAGGTGCTTGATTTTATACACCTGTGGCCATGGAGGTGATTGGAACACCTTAATCCAATGATTTGGAGGGGTGTCCTAATACTTCTGGCAATATAGTATATCTGTAGAATTCAGATGGAGGAGCCATACAGGGCACTGTAAACTTCAACACTACAGGTAAAAACAAAATTTACAATGCAGCATGATATCCTAAACATCACCTCTTGATTAGAATTAGCAAAAAATATTTACTTCGTGTTTTATAGCATCATGATTCTGTTTCAACAGGACTGCGCATGGAATATGCCTCTCCTAGTTTTGAGGTACGAGCTGTGCATGTAGATTATGATCATGTGCAGTGTTCTCACAATGCAACTCCCTAGATGTATTGCACACCCCCACTATTTTTCTGGCTCACTCTTACTTAAGTAGCCTGTGGGTGACGCTGGCATGAATGGATAGCTTTCACATAGCATGTAAGCTTTTATATGCAGCTGCTGGATCCACAGACATGTAGAAATGTTGACTTTATTGTGAATGTGCCGACGAGGTGGCTACATCCCCACATAGGACCATGTAGAACCAGCGTAGCCACCCTCATAAAGAAAGTGTGATTTGAAGAATTTTTATATATTTTTTGTCATACACATTTCCTAATTGCAAATTTAGAGGTAGTTAGATGACCATTTATCAAAGCAAGCAATATTATATTTAATTTTCTGAATTGGGCTTAATGATACTTTAAGCTTTGTCCCTGTTTTAACAGTTTTGCTGTGGAGAGAATCCAGGGTGGGACTGTGAACACACAGTCTTCGTTAGACAATGACACCCACTGACAGCATCACAAACCACTTTAAATAGATGGGGAAAATGACAAAGAAAAACCTGCCACGTCTTTATTAAAAAACAAGATTTTAATGCCATCCACCTCAGCTCTTTGTAACATTTTAAAGCATATGCCCGGGCAAAATAAGGTGAAATAAACATTCAGCACATCCCTGCAATACATCAACACTTTGCAATGGTTTATCCCTTTGTCTGTTGATATGCCAGAAAAGCCAGTGTACGCCTAACTCCCTGATTTGAGCTGCTACCTCTGCTGTACTGAAATCTCAAGCCGTGAATTTTCCTCTGCTGGACTACAGAACACCTTCTCCTTATACTACTGCAATAAGGAGATGGGAAGGTGTTGCAGTGTTCAACAAAGGATAACTGGGCCAGGCTGACCACACTGATTGGTTTTTAGTGCAAAAGCATTGGAACTGTGTTGTCAGATCAAACAGGAAGCAGAACACGTGAAGACAGAAAGCGCCAGGGACAACCACTCCTCTGAAGGGTTAACAAATGTACCTGCTACAGGTTGCTGCCCCACTTCAGCCGGGGAGACTGTGATATCTAAGAAAAGCACAAACATCCCTAGTGCAGATACATTTTATTCATGTAGAGGCAAACAATAGGAATAGTACTCACAAGAGTAGATGAACATGAGCCTTAGACAATAAACCAGGATGAGGCAAGTGGGAGCTGCACAGACATTCCTGTGTGCCAGTGAGAAATGCCTAAGTTGACGCGTTTCCGGGGTCATCAGAGCATCTGTGGGCGGGGAGCACTAAAGACCATTCAGGTCCTCCACTGTCCACACTCCCACTAGGTGATGACGAACTATTGGTGTTCGGTCCGATTGACTGTCTTTCATAATTTTTTCTATGGAGAGGAGGGGGAGGTTAGGTTTTGACGAAGGGGACGTGACCCCTGAAACGCGTCAACGTAGGCATTTCTCGCTGGAACACAGGAACGTCTGTGCAGCTCCACTTGCCGCATCCTGGTTTATTGTCTAAGGCTCATGTTCATCTACTCTTGTGAGTACTATTCCTATTGTTTGCCTCTACTTGAATAAAATGTATCTGCACTAGGGAAGGCGCCCCGTTTGTGCTTTTCTTTTAGATCAAGCAGGAAGTTTGAATGTCTGGCAAATCAACAGGTATTTTTATGCATCTTTTTAAAGTAATAAAACATGGAAACATTTTCATATATTTCAGAGATGTACTGAATGTGTTGCTCAGATATGCGCTTTAAGGAAAAGAGAATATTCACAATTGAGAAAATATCATAAGGAATGTATCAGTGGTATACAGGCACAAGATCATTTTAGGTTCTGATAGCAAAGAGATTCCTTGCAACATGGTATAGATAGTTTTTTTTACAAAACAAAGACCAAAAAATAGGTGAGAAACTCTCAAACACAACTGCAGTCATTGTTTGAACTGAGATGTCTGTGATGGAGTGTATGTTCCATATCTGTTGGCAACATTAGTAAAACCAGTTCGCAAACCCTGTGTGCTGCCAAGACCAGGCACCCCAAATCCTTGGTTAAATGTACCACCATATGAAGAAGATCCATAAAGTCCGAGGCCATATGGCTTTGTTTGTGTATTTGAAAGAATGACAGGGTTGATGTTTTTGCCTGGTGTATTGAAGGCAAACTCTGGAGGTGGACTGCTCGGTTTGGATGGTGTGGAGGTCATTGGGCTTAATTCATCGCTGGATGTCTTCAAAGATGGCATCTGAATAATGTGATGATCAGGGATGTTCAACATATTGGGTGGCATTGCACCAGAAGACAATACTGGCCTTGCCCATTCATCCTTAAAGATCTGCACAGTCAGAGTTGAAATCAAAGTGCTGAGTCGGTTTGTGACATGAGCGAGTACCATCTGCTCATTGGCATCCCTCCTAATCCTGACGTGGACTGACCCTGCCTGAAAGGTACAAGAGGTAAAAGAGGTTAATAGTTACTGTACTGTTAAAGGGTATTCTTGAATTATTCCTAGCCCATCAGCACCGACCCCTATTACGTTTGATACCTCCCTTCATTAGCTGAATTGCTGCATTCAATCTAGTGATAGAGTTTGTTATGTTGTATTATCAATTTTTGCAACAGCTGTATAAGTGTGACCAATTTTGTCCTAAGTTGTCAGTCGAGTGTTGCATTCCTAATTTTTTACAAAAGCTAAGAAAATCATTTTCCATAACAAAGTCCTGCAAATATCCAAACTATCATATACATACCATGCTATCAAAACCAAGAGTCCAAAAATGCTCATTACGGACTTCCAAAACCCCATCCAGAGTTGAGACCTGTTCAACAGGAAAGTTAACAAAATCAAAGTAAAATCATTAGCCAGTTTCAGACCTTAGGCATATGAATACACCCCGAAAAAAAATAATTATATAAAGGACTTCTAAATTCGACGGGTCCCAGGGCCACAGACAAGGACTACAGTTAAAACTAGGGATGCACCGATACCAATACTAGTATCGGTACTGAGTATTTGGTCGAGTAATTGTACTCGCCCAAATACTCTGACACTTACCTCCGATACCGGAACTCCCGGTCAAAGGGACATCTCCCCCTGACCAGCAGTGCCCAGGGAGCAAGGAGCCGGCTTCCCTTCCACTCAGGGAGCTGGGTGGTGGGTTATGACCCGCCTCCCTGATTGGCTAGGAAGCCGGCTTCACTAGTTGCTATGCAGCCTGGCCTCCTAACCAATCGGAAAGCCAGCCGGCACGTAATTACCCACCTCCTGGCTTCCTGATTGGTCATGAAGTTAGGATGCCTAAGAACAAGTGAAGCCGCCTTCCTAGCCAATCAGGAAGCCGGGAGGTGGGTCATGACATGCCGCCTGGCTTCCTGATTGGCTAGGAAGCCAGCTTTACTTGTTGGTTGGCAGCCTGGCTTCCTAACCCAGCAGGAAGCTGGGTGGCACGTCATGACTCGCATCCCGGCTTCCTGATTGGTTAGGAAACCGGCTTCACTTGTTTCTAGGCAGCATGGATTCCTGACCAATCAGGAAGCTGGGAGGCGGATCATGATGTGCCACCCGGCTTCCGTATTGGCTAGGAAGCCAGCTTCACTTGAGTAAGCTGGACGTCACTTCATGACTCGCCGCCTGGTTTACTGATTGGTCAGGAAGCCAGGCAGCCTCTGCAGCCAGTGTTCTTTCGCTAGAACACCGGCTTCACAGGCAATCAGGAAGCCGGGCAGCGGGTCATGATCTGGCACTTTAACACTTAATAGACTATGTTCCTATTTCCTTACTTAGGGCAACATTAATTTAATGTATAAATGGTTGAAATGTAGATACAGTTTATATATATTTTAGATTGTAAGCCCTCGTGGGCAGGGCCCTCCTTACCATTTTGTCTTGAATTGTATTGTAATGTCTTCCTTATATTGTAAAGTTGTAAAGTGCTGTGCAAACTGTTGGCGCTATATAAATCCTGTATAATAATAATATTATATGGTTTTCCCGCAATTTGAGTTTACATACCTCTCGGAGCAGCTTGTCTAGCTGGCCAATCACATGAGGAGGTGTAGTCTTTAGAAGAAAAAAAGACAACAGGAATTACATGTCAATGCACATAAATGTTTTTACATCCTCTGGTTTTCTCATTAAGGGCTTATTCAGACCTATGCACTGTATATGACCTCAAAGCACAGTACTGTCCTGGCCAACGCACCACAAAGCATATGCTTACGTTATTGTGAATTGCATCGTAAAATAAGTGTCATAGGTGTTTTAATATTCATTGCTGTGCGTTGGTAGCCCATTCACACCACAACGCACTGCATAAGTGTGAATCTGCCCCAATAGTTTGACGCACTTACAACACATCAAATCAAGTATTCACTGTGACAATAATGAGGTCTGATGACCCCTAAACGGAGTTGGGGGGTTAGGGATGTCGTATTAAACATAGTGCCAACCTAAGTTTCCTCAAAATTCACAAGTTGGTAACGGAAAGGGTTGGATTTCAATTTAAAGTCTGTGGTGGGCAGTCAAAGAAGGTGTCAGTAAAAACCTCCAACTTTCAGCATTACTTATTATTTCATTGCTCCTACGGTAATGGAATTACATTAATAAAATGGTTACACTGATGTATGGAACGATGACAATCAGTCAGACATCAGACAAACCTATATTACAAGGTCCAGACAACTAATGGGAAATATTAGACCTCCTAAGTGAGGTGTGCATAAGATCCATATCATATTTGGTTGTCAAATTGTAAAACCTTGTCAGATGGAAATATAGATGTATTTAGAAATATTGGCAGTAATGATGCCTGCTGGAAAATAAAATTATCTCTTGTCCCCTTCAGCACCCTTTGATTTGTGTAGTTGGATATGTGACACCCTCCTAATGTCCAACAAAAATCTGATGCAACTGGCACGTTCAGTTATCGTTTGAGATTGATACTACTAAAGAATCTTAGAGAGTCACATTTCTGAGAACCAGTGACTCTGATATATCAGCTTGGCCTTACTGTGCACATGAATTGCATGAAACCAAAGAACAGGCAAAATTTGCTTAAGTGTTTTTCAGTTTTAATTCCTTTTGTTTTACTTTGGCTTTTTGTAAATATTTTCTTGCACTGTATTTATTTTTTTATTTTTTTTATTAAAACGATATATAAAAATAGTTGCATTGAATGCTCTAATCAGAATTTCTGCCTCTTTGAAGAAAGCTACCATATTGTACACTCTGTTACATTCCTGTATGGGAGTGGCAGTGAATGATACGGACATTTCTTTTAAATAATCAGTCGCAAAACTGCAGATGCTGCGAACAGCGAGAGTTTCATTAATACATGTGGCAGTGGCTACTGTGTGTGTATGTATAATGTTAAATGCTCAGTTAACCTGCTCTAGTGATGATCACTTTCAATCTAGTGATGCTTAGATTGTTGTCTCAGAGCTGGAAAATTGCTTTGCATTGTGGAATCTGGGAGCGTAAGGCCCAATTTACACCTATATGTTTAGGTGTGATTAGGAATTCCTGTGTCATTCTAGGCAGCAGGAATCCCTTATATCTGTTTATAAGTTGCAGCTGTCACCTGTTCAAGAAAATGATTGGAGGACAGTAGCTGCATTTAAATGCTGGCACACCGCATGGATTACATACAATGCAGCATTCAAATCAGGGATTCCTGCTGCAGGGAAACAAAAGTTTGTGACACAGGAATCCCTAATCAAGCTTAAACATAGGTGTGAATGGGGCCTTCTACTCACACAGCAATAGCATTTGCATGGTGAACCATGACCTTTTAAACAATTTTTTAATGGATATGTGAAATAAATCCACTTAATGGAATCCATTTGTGCTTGTGTATTTAAAAAAAAGTGTCTCTGTGTTTTGGCTTAATTATATAATTACATGGAGCAACCAGTTTTGCTCATTACATAAACAGGCTCCGCTTCCTGCTTAGCAGTGCTGCATAATGATTGTGCCTTGCTGATCCTATTATTTTACTGCATGTCTACCAGTCTTTATGATTGAAATCAATAGACTTTCTGCAGTGTCTAATGAAGTAAAAAATCTTAGCCAAAGCCAAAGACCATGTGATGTGATGCTTTGCTTATGCTTTGGGTCACATGAGGAAGGTTGGGGTAATGTTTTTATTGTTCATGGAAAGAACTATATTCTTTACGACAACTCTTTCAAAGAATTCTACATGGAGGAAGGGAGAGAATAATGACTAGAATTAAAGAGGGGCAGGAATCCCAATCCCTTCAAGAGGGTGAGGAGAATCACAACACCCATTTAAAAGAGTAATTTAGCTACAAAGGCATAAGGATCAGAAAGGTGAGGAGGAGACCTTTCAGTTCATGCGCAAAGGTGTGTCAGGGATCTCAGGGAAACAGCCAAGACTGCCTGGTCATCAGCAAATCATGAAAAGGAGCGCTGTAATGGGCAAAAGGCTTTTTCCCAATAGGAACCAGGAGGAGAATCTACGTGCTGACACCTAGAATAATTAGCCTTGACAGGAGCAAGAAGAGGGTTATGTCCCTCAAAGATTTCCAGAGTTAACACTCATTCACGCTGGGAGATGTGGAATTCCTGCGGCAGAAACTTACAGATGCCCCATTTAGATGAGGCTGCTCTACCCATTCAAGTTAATGACCAGATGACAGCAGCCGCATCTTTAAACAGCAGTCAGCATATAATTGTACTTGATACAATTACATGCTGTTTGGTAAAGATCACTGCCCCTGGGTGCATCTATCCTGTATCCAGTGACTGTGATCTATTTCTAACCACATGGAATCATATCACATACACTTACATGCGGCCTGCCGCTTACAGATGCGGCCGCTGTCACTTGGCCATTAACTTGAATGGGTACAGAGGCCACATCTAAACAGGCAATCTGGGATTCTTGCATCAGGAATCCGTAGGTTCCTGCCGCAGGAATCCCAAATCGCCCAGTGTAAATGAAGCCTGCGCATACTGTTGACGCAATATAAATCATGTATAATAATAATAATGAGGAAACTGACTATTTGGTAAAGGGATTTAGGGCATTCCATGATAGTGAGACTAATAAAATCACCTGGCACAAAGGTAGACATATCCATGAGTGCTGGGGGTAAGGGTGTAATCCTGAGTATTTAGAAGAGTCAGGCTCTCATAGGACAATAGGGGCCCAGGCCCAGAGGAAAGTGGTAGCAGGTTAGATACCTTGCTCAGAGACCATAACATACAGGGGTACAGGTACTGTTGCTAGATCACACAGAGCCTCATTACACACGCACACAAAGGTTGAACTTGATGGACATGTGTCTTTATTCAACCTCAAATACTATTATGTAACTATGTATCTCAAGGTGTGCAAAACAAAAAACTCTAACATGTAAAACTAGATAGGCAAGTTTTATGTGAAAGGTTGAGCAGATGAACCAGAGGATTTGGGCTTTAAGATTTGTAGTTTGAGTGGGGGGGGGCGGGGGGGGGTAGACTGTGATCATCTACGAGGTACTACTATAAAGGTAGTAGTAGAAGAATAGGCATCTTCTGTCCCCATCCCAAGCTATTCTGTGTTAAGGCAGATAAACATCCCTAGAAGCATCAGGAAAAGCTGTGTCAGAACCAAAGAGGAACATACTCTTAAAAAGGGTGAGTAGATCAAATGTTCCTTTTGCATATCCTCTGAAGTCCAGGCATGAAGTCATAGTGCCCTATGCATCTGAACACATAAAACACCCATGCAAGACACCATCTTAGAGAAACCATGGCAGCTGAAATGCAGGGCTCCAGAAAATTGATGCAAAAGCTCCTGGGCGTGAGGGCTTAACCTCAGGATAGAATGTTCTCGTTGTAGAGTCAATCCATAATGAAATTGATTCACAAATCTGAGTCACACCCAATAAGGGATGAACAGATATACTAGATGACTCAGACTGAGACCTATGTAAGGGAATTTAATAATGAAATCCCCAAAAGGTAAAAACATCTACCGGTTTAAAAGTATGTTTCTAGATGTGAATGACTGAAACGTCTACAATGGCTGTCAATCAATTCCCTTTCAAAGGGAAATGGATTCTTCACACTGACAGGATGAAGCCATGACTCTACAGGTCACTCCCAGTCCTCATAGAAGAATAATTTACATACTGGGTGTATGAGGAAGGTCTTAGGAATAACAACTCTAAAAAGACCCTATGCCTGGAACAACAGGACAGTCCTCAATTTGCAGATCAGAATGCACTGTATAAAGGTATCAAGGACTCCTTGTAAGGAAGGTTCTGAGTCTGCATCAATAGGGTCCTTAGTCACACTGCAAGGTGAATATATTATCAGTCTTGTAGACAGATGAAAGTCTTAGCTTTCCACTGTGCAGCTACATATGACTCCAATGAGGACAACCCTATAGCAATAGGGATCTCTGGATCCAAATTGCGGGCATTGCACCATTCTGGGACTGAGGTCACCTGTTGCAGCAGAACTATCCTCTGCATGCCTATTAAGTGGCCTGTTGCATGGTGCAGCAGAAGACAACTAGGTCTGAGAGGCAAGACCTTGCTTACACACAAACTTTAGCAGCTGATGCTGAGGTGCAGTATAACCCAAGTGTTTAAGAATTACTATTGTCCTGTGTCCCTCAATAAACGATAAACTGAACACTTTTACATACATTTATAATATTTGTTTCATATCAATACAAGTTATTGTATTAAATATAGAGATTTGTACAATAGCCACTATATGCTGCTCCCAATAACTTGCAATTACTAATGTCTAACTTACTGACATGAGATATCAATCGCAAAGGGAATGCATTGTTTCAATGAGTTAGCAAAGTCAAACTTGCTGTGTTAGAAGAACCAGTAAAGCCCAACACTGCAAACCAGGAAGCAGAGCATGTGCATGTAATGAGCAAATATGGCTGTGCATATAATTACAAATGTACAAATTATAAATAGAAACAAGCATCTATTTTACTTGTTTATCTTACATTTTACATGTTAAAAAAAAAAAAAAACCTCTCATATACGGACACACACACACACACTACTTTTATTTCAACTCTCTTACAA